ATCTATAAAATAACAACGTTAAATATAATAAAATGTCTTTAATAAATAAATTGTCGGACCTTGTCCATTTCTTAATATATATATATATATATTAATATATATATATATATTAATATATATATATATTAATATATATATATTAATATATATATATCGAATATATATATATATATATTAATATATATATATATATATATAAATATATATATATAATATATATATATATATATATATTTAATATATATATATATATATTAATATATATATATATATATTATATATATATATATATATATATATATATATAATATATATATATATATATAAATATATATATATATATATGATATTGATTTAAAATATGATTTAGTTAGAATACCATGTTTCAAAAACCGAAGCTAAAAACTTCAATTTAATTATATAATTTAATTAAAATCATTAGTTCTTTTTCATCTTCAAGTGAATTTTGGAATAACTTATTCGCTTGAAGATGAAACAGAACTAATGGTTTTAATTTAATTCTGTAATTAAATTTGAAGTTTTTAGCTTAGGTTTTTGAAACATGGTAATTCCTGTGTAGCGAAGAAACCATATTTTAAATCAGTTAATTTATAATATTTATGCTCTGTAAATTTACATTGAGCAGTTTTGTAAAAATAAAAATATTAATAAAAAAACATTATTTTATATATCTTACTGTTCTTTCTTTTTATTATTATTATATATATATATATATATATATATATATATATATATATATATATATATATATATATATATATATATATATATATATATAATGCAAACTGAACCTTTGTTTACCTAATAGTAATTTTTTGCTTATAAGATTTATTTTCAACATTAAATAACCGAACAAGCCTTAAATTAACCAGCCTAAACCCTTACACTGACCTCATGTGAATGCAAGATTTCAAGTATTATGAATAGCTAATAAGCCTTGTCATATCATTTAATTTGCATTATATTCGTTGTGAAACGTGGATTTAATGTTGGCAATCAATATAAATATTTAGTTTAATTATGTTTGGTCAGTTTACTTAAACAGTTTTAATGAGAAAAATTATATTTACATTTTGATGAGAAACACGAGGAATTTTATATTTTTAAAATTCTGAACATGTTAACTCTGGGTGACTTGTATAGGATAGGAACAAAAGTTGGCAAAGTTCGCAAATGAATTTCAATAAATATATTTCGATATTTGTACATAGCTTCATTCAAAGACATATGTGTCATTTTATTCCACCGCCTTTTGACCATTTTTGAAGTCGGTTCATTATCTCATCTTCCCAGATCCTGAAATCTTTCTGGGTGAGAACCTGGTCGAAGGGATTTATACAGGCTTCCAGAGTCCATTGTATGGTTTGGTTCACGCCCTTTATTTTAAAAAATAACAAAAAAACGGGACGTCTACTCAAACACGTGCATCTACTACATTATAATGTTTAAAATGAGAAATAATGGGCTCGGCTTAGCAATTTGAAAATATCCATTAATTCCTTATCCGTATGGCTGATCCTAATCTCGAGGAGACAAACCGTTAAGCCTTTTCGGTCTCACGTTTTCCCCTGACACGAAGTGTAATGGTTATATTAAACCATTCGCTATATCTACTTCTAGGATACTTGTTTCAAATATATCATGCTAGACAATTTTTCTCGACAGAATACATTTTACATATTTATAAATCTACCATTCACCTGTCCATTGAATCCACTCTGATACTCTTGCTGTACATCTCCAGATTCTTGACAATATACAGAGAAGAATCTGCAATGTTATCAGTCCTGAACTGGCATCACGGCTTGTCACTTTCTCACTTTCCTGACCTGTGACAATTCTGTGAGTATTTTCATGGTAAATGTATAGCTGACCACTCGTATTCGTGGATAACCGTCTACTAGGGCGGCTAGCCAATCCCTATTGCAGATCATTGCTAAAGAGCGTGTTATCTAGGGGGATCAACAATTTGAACAAGGCCAACGCGATCAAACCCTCGGCCACGTTGACTTGTAACTTCATGCTAGCACAGCTATTGACGGCTCCCAAGGCTTCCGTCTACCCAATTACACTCACAAGGCTTGGGTCAACACGCAGTATGGTCTTCAGGCACTTTCCAAAGATAACGAGCCTTCCAGTCCATTAACATCAGGAAGTCTCCCTCATGACAACTCGACCATGGTCAGAAGGCGAAAGTTCTAACCACTCGGCCACGTAAATGTACTTTATTTATGTGTACCGTGTCTTCATGAATTTAAGCGTAGTACTAGATTGGCAGTTAGGTCTCATAGATATAATAGCTCGATGTAAGTTATATTCTGATATCTTATCCCGCACTTCATGCTTGCGGAAATCTTCTCCGGTTTCTTGTTTTGCTGTCAAGTACGATTCATCTCGCGTTTCTTTTATGTCTCAGGATCTATATCGCCTTGGAAGGAAATATTTTTATTTTAATGGTAAGCTGACGTATAGAATATCCTAGCCAAGCCGATGGACAAAATTCTGACTGGCCAATTTCATTGATCACTGCCTTTAATCGGTCCAATGTCCAGGCTTAGGAAGTCAACAAATCAGCCATGGTGAGATTCGAACCCGTGTCTCATGGTCAAAATGCGAAAGTCCTAACCACTCGGCCGCGTGCCCATATGGTAAAATGGAGAGTTTTGACCATATGTCTTCATGAATTTTAGCGTAGTACTAGATTGGCAGTTAGGTCTCATGGGTTTAATGTTGAAGTAGCTTGATTTAACCGTAAGTTATAATCTGATAAAATCTTATCGCGCACTTCTTGTTTGCAGAAATCTCTTCCACTTTCTTGCTTTGCTGTCAATTACGATTCTTTTGAGTCCTGTTCTTTTATTTCCCTTTTAGCTCACTGGCGTTTTCTTTCGCGTCTCACTGGCTATATCACCTTGCTTGGAATGAAATTATTTTTTTTAATGGTAAGCTGAAGAGTAGATTATCCCAGCCAAGACGTACCGATTTCTGTCAGGCCTGTAATGAGACGTGATGCTTGGCAATGTCCTGATGGACATGCTTCTAAGTGGCCAATTTCGGATTCATTTCATTGATCACTGCCTTTAATCGGTCCAATGTCCAGGCTTAGGAAAACGAGATTCTAGTGAGAAAATAACAGATTGGATCACGAAGCATTTCCCATTTTTAGAAACAGACATATTAGTTATCATATATGGCAGCGAATGCTGGACAATTTCCTAACAGATAAAGAGGAGAGAAAAATGTGGTTCTACAGAAGGATATTGAGAATGACATATACAGAGTATGCAAATAACAGGGAAATGTTAACAAAAATGCAAACAAAAAGTACACTTGGACTTAGAATCCGAAATTCAAGCGCAGTACTAGATTGGCAGGAAGGTCTCATCATTTTATAGTTGAAACGGCTTGATGCAACCGTAAGTTCTATGCTGAAAGTTTCTGCTCTCCTACTTTTCACTTGTGGAACTCTCTTCTGGATTCTTGCTTCCCAGTCAACTTTGATCTTCAAAAATTTAAATGCAATGTCAATCGTTATCGTCTGTCTTCTTAATTTTTGTTCTTTTATTGTCCTCTCCCCTTAATAGAGTTTTCTTTTTCTCATATTCTCAATTTGGTCTTCTAAAATTTAAGTGTAATGTCAATCGTTATCTTCTGTCTTCTTAATTCTTGTTCTTTTATTGTCCTCTCTCCTTAATAGTGTTTTCTTTTTCTCATATTTTTAATTTGATCTTCATAAATTTAAATGCAATGTCAATCGTTATCTTCTGTCTTCTTAATTCTTCTTCTTTTATTGTCCTCACTCCTGAATATTTCTTTTCTTTTTCTTATATTCGTTCATACTTAGTGGCAATATTTCCTTGACTGGGCGTGAAATAATCTCTCTCTCTTTCTCTCTCTCTCTCTATCCCTCTCTCTCTCTCTCTCTCTGATCAGAATTAAAACAAGGTATCGGTGTGGAAGCAAAGCGCCGACCCAAAAACTTGTATTTTAAGGAGCACCATTTTTTCTTTTATTGATTTCATTATCTCTCTCCCTCTCTCCCCCAATCTTTCTCATTCACTCTATCTCTCTCGTTCCTTCTCTTCCTCTCTCTCACTCTCTCTCCCCTTCTCTCTTTCCCTCTTTCTCTCTCCCCCTCTCTCTCCCTTCTCTCTCATTCTCTCTCTGTCTCTCTCCCTCTTTCTCTCTCACTCTCCCTCTCTTTCTTTCTCTCACACACTATCTCTCCTCATCTCTCTCACTTTAATAATGTTTTTTTTCTTTTATTTTTTTCACATTCAAAAACCCTTTGCATCTTAGTGGCTTTATAGCCTTCTTTGAATTAAACAATTTCGATTGATTCATTTTCTCCGGCTTATTAACCCTTTGCAAATTATTTTAAACCAGAAAATATTTTTTAGATTGTAAGAATTTGTTTTGAGATAATAATGGTTTAGTGATACAAGTTTTACTAATTAACCCATAGCTAAGGGGATAAGAGGTAGATTCATGCCTTTCCCAAGGGTATGTGCGCGTAAGTGAATTTAAGGAACCTAATGGAAATTGGAACTTGGCTCCCCAAATAACAATTATAACTCGTTATCCATTACACCACCGTACATCCAAGCTTATAACACCTGGTATTTCCCCATCTAGGTAATGAGCAGGCTCGACGTTACTTAACTTTGGTGACCATATGGAATCCGGTGTTTCAACATGTGGCCATAAGAGAAAATAAAAGTGTGATAGCGGAAAAATGATTTCTTTTTTTTTTTTACATTATTTCACAATCAGTAACTCTTTGCGTCTTAGTGGCTTTATTTCCTTGTTTGGGGTGAACAAAAGAAAAGTTGGAGAGAGGAAAGTAGCGAGGAAAAACAAGTTGTGCAAATGAATGGCAGAACAAAAACTGAGAAGATGCGTAAGTGAATATAACGAACCCAATGGGAATTGGAACTCGACAATAATTCCGGCTCATTATAACACCTACACACTCAAGCTTATAACACCTGGTATTTGCAAACGGTCACCATCTAGATACTGATCAGGCTCGACGTTGCTTAACTTCGGTGATCGTACGGGAACCGGTATTTCAACGTGATGTGGCCAGAAGAGAAAATTAAATGTGATAGAGGAAAATGATTTCTTTTTCTTACATTATTTCACAATCAGTAACCCTTTGCGTGTTAGTGGCTTTATTTCCTTGTTTGCGGTGAACAAAAGAAAAATCAGAGAGAGGAAAGTAGCGAGTACAAAAAGTTATCTAAATGAATGACATGGGAAGATGTAGAGGACCATGATCATCCATGTCCTGTAGGGATAAAACACATAAAGAAAGAACTTCATCAGTGGCTAGTATATAGAACAAGAATAGTCTTATGAATCAGTCTTGTACTCGAATATAATTTCAATTAGATACAATCTGGAATCAAAATCGGATGGAATGCTGTCAACACATTACAATATTTATTTGTCTTTTGATTATACAATATCTTCAATGAACTCATTAGGATTAACCTTCCAAAATTAAAACTTGCTTTTTCTTCCGATAAATGTTTACAAGCACTGGAATGAAAATTCATTATTAACACAAAAAAAGCCATATTTTCGTTCAGTTGAAACATTTTCCTTGAAGAGAAAACAAAACAAATGAAGAATCTGTTTTGTTAATCTATCTCTTTTGAACTAATCCTTGAATATGAAAAATGCATTGTTTTCTTAACTCTTCCATTTGGAGAGTTCCAATTCATTTCCTCCATTAGATATATTGAAAAGCAGTTTTACCAGAAACAAACAAGAATAAACTAACATGGAGAAGGATTAATCCTTGTCATGCCATCAGAAATCAAGATCAACTCAACAGATATTCAATAATATTAAACTTTAATCTATCTTCTGCAATTTGACTGTGGGAAAATAATCCTGTGAAATCAAAACAGATTCAATGTTTTTCTTTTTTTAACTCACGCAATTGGAGAGTTCTACACCGAGGAGATTGGAAAATATATTTATCACTTTGGAATAAAGATGTTGTTTAAGAACAAAAATATGTTTATAAATTATGAAGAAAGTAAGGAATTCTTTATTGAAGAAGTGGAATGAAAAACAAAGAGAGAAAATATGAAGAGAATGAAAGGAGAAGTCGCAGATTTCTCTGAAGAAAGAAATGGATGTATAAAATTCCAGGAAATGTTTTGCTCAACAATGACAGAACTTTCTTTTTTTAAATTTCCATTCACTTTTACTTTCATTCTTTGTTTTTCATTCTATTTTCACTTTGTTTCATTACTTTATCATTTTTTATTCTTTGTTTTCATTTTTTAATTTATTTTTTATTCTGCCTTCATTCTTTTTGTTAAAGGTTTTTTTAAATTTACATTCACTTTCATTTGATTTTACATTCATTGTTTTTCATTTGTTTTCAATTTTTTTTCCATTTTCTTTCATTAAAAGTTTCAAATTTCTATTCAACTTTACTTTTAATCTTTTTATTCTTTATTGTTCATTCTTTATTCATTTTTTCATTCTTTTCTTCATTTTTTCATTCTTTTATTCATTTTTTTCATTCTTTTATTCATTTTTGTTTTCATTTTTTCATTCCTTTTGTTAACAGTTTTAAAATTTCATTCACATTCATTCAATTTTTCATTTTTTCATTCATTTTTTCTATTCTTTTTTCATTTGTTTTTTTCTTTATTTTGTTATAAAATTTTTCATTTCTATTCAATTTTACTTTCATTTTTTATTTTTCATTCTATTTTCATTTTTTTCATTACGTCCTCATTTTTTTCATTTTTTGTTTTCATTTTTTTAAATTCATTTTTTATTCTTTGTTTTCATTTTTTAATTCATTTTTTATTCTGCTTTCATTCTTTTTGCTAAAGATTTTTAAATTTACATTCATTTTCATTTGATTTTACATTCATTGTTTTTCATTTGTTTTCATTTTTTCCATTCATTTTTCATTCTTTTTTTCATTAAAAGTTTAAAATTTCTATTCACCTTTACTTTCATTCTTTTTTATTCTTTATTTTTCATACTTTTATTCATTTTTTGTTTTCATTTTTTCATAGAATTTATGAAAAAGTCACCTTTAAAGAGAAAAAAATAAAAGAACAGGAAGACAGAAGATAGCGATTGACATTGCATTTAAATTTTAATCTTTTCTCTCCCAGCAAGGCAATAAAGCCCCTAAAACGCAAGGCCTTTACTGAGTGTGAAAGAATAAGAGAAAAAGAAAAAAACATTATTAAGGAGATAGAACAATGAAAGAAGAGGAATTAAGAAGAAAGAAGATAACGATTGACATTGCATTTAAATTTTTGAATATCAAATTGAAAATATGAAAAAAAGAAAACATTATTAACATGAGAGGACAATAAAAGAACAAGAATTAAGAAGACAGAAGATAACGATTGACATTACACTTAAATTTTTGAAGATCAAATTGAGAATATGAGAAAAAGAAAACACTATTAAGGAGAGAGGACAATAAAAGAACTGGAATTAAAATGCCAGAATATAACGATTGACATTGTATTTAATTTTTAAGATTGCGAATAAAGATTAGTGCGATGCAAGAAGAGAAAACAGAATTCCTCAAGCGAAAAGTGTGAGAGAAGGAACACATAGCATAGAACTTACGGTTACCTCTAGCCAACTGTAAATTTATATGGTATAGGGTACTACAGTGGAAAGAAGATCACAACACTAAGCATAAAAGTATTCATAGAAAAGCACGGGAAAGTAACGTTAGGTAGGCGGAAAACCGATATGCCAGGTCAGGACTAATAATATTGCAAATTCAGATAATGAGGAAAGAGTGATCAGAGTGTTTGACACATACAAGACAAATTGGCGGCAAGAGGGGCAGAGGAAAACGACGCCTAACCTAACTGACGAGCTTGTGTAACGGGTTGGCGGAACAGGAATTAAGATATATGAGACTAGGACATATTTATTAAGAACTACAAAGGACAGGAAATTGTGGCGAGCCATGATCACCAATGTCCTGAAGTTTCACAGCACATAAAAGGAGAAGAATGAGCTTGAGTAAATGGATGACGGACCAAGGTTTAGGAGAGATAACAAAAAGACAAAATTTATTAAGAGCTACAAACGAGAGGAAATTGTGGAGAGCCATGATCACCAAAGTCCTGAAGTTTCACAGCACATAGAAGAAGAAGAATGAGTTTGAGTAAATGGATGGCGGAACAAGGTTTAGGAGAGATAAGAAAAAGACAAAATTTATTAAGAGCTACAAACGAGAGGAAATTGTGGAGAGCCATGATCACCAAAGTCCTGAAGTTTCACAGCACATAGAAGAAGAAGAATGAGTTTGAGTAAATGGATGACGGAACAAGGTTTAGGAGAGATAACAGAAAGACAAAATTTATTAAGAGCTACAAAGGAGAGGAAATTGTGGAGAGCCATGATCACCAATGTCCTGAAGGAACACAGCACATAGAAGAAGACGAAGAAGTTTGAGTAAATGGTTGGCGGAACAAGGTTTACGAGAGATAAAAAAAATACAAAATTTATTAAGAGATACAAAGAACAGGAAATTGTGGAGAGCTATGATCGCACACATCCTGAAGGGACACGGAATATAGAAGAAGAAGAAGAAGAAGAAGAAGGAGCTTGAGTAAATGGATAGCAGGAACAAAATTTAAGAGAGATAACAAAAAGACAAAATTTATTAAGAGCTACAAGGGACAGGAAATTGTGGAGAACCGTGATGTACAGCATGTACACGAAGATCCCACATTGTCCACAATTACGTACTGAATATTTTGCCAATAGATTAATAACATGTTATTATTTCTGATATTTTTCGTTTATGAGTTATATATATATATATATATATATATATATATATATATATATATATATATATATATATATATATTATATTATTATTATTATTATTATTATTATCTTTGATTTCTGGCGTTTACACATTTCTTTCCGGGTCCCGCCCAGGGACCTAAGGTTAGAAATGACATCATGACACTTTCCACTGACAAAAAAAAAAATATACATTGATAAAGCCCTTCGTAAGGTGTGGGCTGTACTTTTGAGAACTATTTTTTGCATGGACTTCCAGGAATCCCTTCAATTAGTCTACTGCAATCTTTTCCAACCTGTCTTAGGGCTCCAACTACAACAGGGATTGTTGATGTTCCCATGTGCCACATTTTCGAGATTTCTATTTCATGATCCTTTCATAGCTTTTTGAATATCTTCAAAGATACATTGCAGTCAGCAGGGACTGCCATATCAATAAGGAGAAACCGTTTTTGTTTGTGGTCTTTAATAACAATATCTGGGCGGTTGGCTTTGATTGTTCTGTCAGTGTGTATTGTGTAGTCCCATAGAATTGTAACAGGTCCTATCTCCGTAACCGGGTCTGGGTGGTGTTCATACCATTTATTATTATTATTATTATTATTATTATTATTATTATTATTATTTATATACATATATTTACTCAGGCCCACTAAGTATGCAATGCATTGTTTTCCTCTATCAGTCGGGACCTCAATCTGACTTGTGAGTATCAAATTCACCAAGCCCATCTTCCTCATAATGGGTCTCATGTAGTTCAACTGTCTCTTTTTCTTTTTATTTCTGTTTTTGCTTATCTTATATTTACCTACTTTGCATTTTCTATTAAAGTTAAATAATGAATTTGTATACTGAGCATTCTTTTAAAATATACATTAAAATACTGTTCTGACCAACAACTATATATATATATATATATATATATATATATATAGGTAACTATACTCGTTTCGAAAAACCTTCGAATTTTTGATTTGCCAATAATCAAATCAATCACGAAGGAAAAAATGGTTTTAAAAAAAAGAAAGAGCTAGAAACATGAAAGTCTGTCGAAAAAAATCGCACAGATGCAGGTTTAAAGCCCAAAGAAAAAAACCTCGACACGAGTAAACAACTAACTAACAAAAGAGCTCAATACAACCGTAGAGCAGACCTAGATAAACCTAGGGAGCCAGACAAACCTACCTAGGTTTCCTGACGATCCGCTTAGGTGAAACCTGGCTAGGTTCGTCTGGCTCACTAGGTTTTTATATATATATATA